AGCCTGCCGCACTCGCCAGAGGGCACGATGCCCGTTCCCAGCCTCCCTGAGCACACGCCGTCCCGCTTGATGCTACTTGAAAAGGGCGCAATGACTATCTTGTTTTTCATTACTGCCTGGCAAGAGCAGGGCTCATCCCTAGAGTCCCAGAACTACTGGGAAAGCTCTTGACGGGGCGACCATTCTTGGGGAGAACCCAGGTGTTCAGGACCAGCCTGGGCAACACTAGCGAGATCCGTGTCGTCTATAAAAAACACAAAACCTTAGGCTGGGGCATCGGTGGGTACGTCTGTAAATCTCCCAGCACTGTTGGCCGACCAAGGAGGTGCGTTGGCATCACTGAGGTCAGAGTTCCAAAACCAGTCATAGGCCAAGTATGGCGAGAACCGCCATCTCTACTAAAAACACAAAAATTAGCCAGGCGGTGCTGGTGCGCACCTGTAATTCCAACCACGAGACTAAGGCGAGGGAATTGCTTTGAACCTGGGAGGGTAGAGGTTGCAATGGAGCCTGAGATCCTGCCACTGCACTCCAGCTGTGTTGGTGACAGAGCAAGACTCATCCACAAAAAACAAAGAAAAAAAAACGCCTCTGGAGCTGAACTATCAGCGGCTTTAAACCTTTCCTCCTCTATCTCTTCAGTGGTTTTGCTTGCAAAGGTCTTTGGTCTGCCTGGACTCTAGGAGATGGCCCCAATCACAGAAGCACCGTGGGTCCTGTCTGCTAGCCGTGGCTTTCCCGACATTGTAAGTTCATTTATCTAAGATGTTCAAAGGAAAATGGACAAAACCACTGCAGGCTGGGTGCAGTAGCTCACGCGCTTTATAATCCCAGCACTTTGGAAGCTTGAGGCGGGCGGATCCACGTGAGGTGGGACGGTTCGAGGACCCATGTGACCCAACATGAAGAAAACCCAGTCCTACTAAAAATACAAAAATAATCCACGGCTGGTGGACCACATGTGCCCTGTAATCCCAGACTACTCAGGAGGCTGCAGGCACGAAAAATCGCTATTGAACCCAGGAAGGGTGGGATGGTTTGCAGTGAGCTGATGATCACCGCCATTGCACTCCAGCCTGGGCAACAAGAGCGAAACTCGAGTCTCAAGAAAAAGAAACAAAAAAAAATATAAGTTGTTCTTTTGTAGCCACCAGAAAACAAGAAAGAAGATAAGAAAAAGAAGATGAGAACCCACTCGTGTGTGTGTGTGTAGCTGAGGTTTGCCCTATGTTATAATTTTGTGTTGGTAGCTCGGTCCACCCCAAGCCATGGCATACTGAGAGGAGAAGAGAGAAGACAGGGCGTCAACTCGCGTCCCTCTAAGTCCTCACTCAGCTATGTCACACTGGAGAGGAGAGGAGAGAGGTGTTACACTCGGTATCCCTCTAGTTCCTCACTCAGCTATTCACATGGCTCAGCTATTCACACTGAGAGGAGGAGGACATGGTGTCACACTCAGAGCCTCTAAGTCCTGGCTCAGCTATTCACACTGAGAGGAGGAGGACAGGGTGTCACACTCGGTCCCTCTAAGTCCTGGCTCGGCTATTCACATTGAGAGGAGGAGGACAGGGTGTCACACTCAGAGCCTCTAAGTCCTGGCTCAGCTATTCACACTGAGAGCAGGAGGACAGGGTGTCACACTCAGAGCCTCTAAGTCCTGGCTTGGCTATTCACACTGACAGGAGGGGGATAGGGTGTCACACTTGGTCCCTCTAAGTCCTGACTCAGCGATTCACACTGAGAGGAGGAGGACAGGGTGTCACACTCGGTTCCTCTAAGTCCTGGCTCGGCTATTCACACTGAGAGGAGGGGGATAGGGTGTCACACTTGGTCCCTCTAAGTCCTGACTCAGCGATTCAACTAATGGCTTTACAAATGACACATCCGATACACAGCTTGAGAGAAAGGGCACGCAATGCTTCTAACACTTCCTGACATTTCTTCTAACTCCTGACATTTTCAGAAGCATGGGATGTTCACTGCAACAGCTGCTTCCAGCCGAGAAAGGGGCCGCCCTTTCTAACTTTTTAAAAGGCTTAGCCGTCTACCAAATGGGATTTTAAGAAAAAGGGATTTCATGTCACATTTCTTTCACAGAAGTACATAAAATTACAAATAAAATTCAAAGCCCAGGCTTTCAGGGCAGGGACCCGGCTGATCCAGCGGCATCAGACACTCTGACTGCCGAATGGGCAGGGGAGAGAGGCAGCCAGGTAACGCAGCAGGGACAGGTGACGCAGCAGGGACAGGTGACGCAGCAGGGACAGGTAACGCAGCAGGGAGATGGAGCCAGGATGGCTTCTCCCAGAGGCCAACCCAGGCCACCAGACGTGGGTGGCTGCAGTCACCCTGGCCGAAGCTGACAAAGTGCCTGGAAAATGAGGGGAGAAACCCCAGAAAGGAGCAGGCACAGAGAGAAGACATCCCCATCCAGCACATAAATGCTCCCCACGTACTTGTCTGACCCTGAGCTGCTGACGCAGTGTGTGGGGAAGACTCCCAGGGGCCCAGCAGAAACGGACGGCTGGAGGACGGAGAACACTGAGTTGAGACGGCGGCTGCTGCTCACCACCTGAGAGTCTGGAGTTTCAACCTTCACAAGTTAGAGGCTTAAAAACACCTCAGGCTTCCCAGGAACATCCAGAAAAAACACACCTTTGCAGATCCAAGACTAAATATCTGTCAGGCAGAAGCAAAAGCCAGTCAGACCTGCCCTAACAGCATCAACACTGAGCCTCTTCAGGGTGATCGGCGGGAATTCGGCCTCCGAGAACAAAGCCCACACTCTTCAGGGGAAGACAACAGCATCCAACAGAATTCAGAGTCTCTACCATATAAACTCCACCATATTACCAGTATATAAACTAAAATTCCAACAGACAATCAGGAAGTACTAGACGTGTGAAGAAGGGATAACAGGATCCACGGTGAAGGGAAAAATTAGCCAAAAGAAGTAGATCCTGAGACCAGGGTGGTGGCTCACGCCGGTAATCCCAGCACTTTGGGAGGCCGAGGTGGGTGAAACACCTGAGGTCAGTCAGGAGTTCAAGACCGGTCTGGCCAACATGGCAAAACCCCGTCTCTAATAAAAAAATACAAAAAAATAGCTGGGCATGGTGGTGTGTGCCTGTGATCCCAGCTACTCAGGAGGCTGAGGCAGGAGAATCACTTGAACCAAGGAGCTGGAGGTTGCAGTGAGCCGAGATGGGGCCACTATACTCCAGCCTGGTGACAGAGCAAGACTCTATGTCTCAAAAAATAATAAATAAATAAATAAATAGGCCAGTGTGTTAGCTCATGCCTGTAATCCCAGCACTTTGGGAGGCCCAGGCGGGTGGATCACTTGAGCCCAGGAGTTCAAATCAGCCTGAGCAACATGGCGAAACCCCGTCTCCACCAAAAATACAAAAATTAGCTAGGTGTGGTGGCACACACCTATAGTCCCAGCTTACTCGGGAGGCTGAGGCAGGGGAATTGCTTGAACCCGGGAAGCGGAGGTTGCAGTGAGCCAAGATTGCCCCGCTGCACTCCAACCTGGAAAACAAGAGCGAGACTTGTCTCAAAAAAAAAAAAAATATATATATATATATATGTAAGTGACAACCCAGAATTCCACATCACTCAAAAATGTCCCTCAAAAATAAAGGTGAAAGAGGGACATTACAGATAAACAAAAACAGATAATTCATGGCCAACAGACCGATATGAAAAGAAATGCTAAAAGTACATCTTTAGGTTGAAGAAAAACAAGATTTGAACCACACTATGAACCACCTTGACCTAATGAAGTTACAGAAAATGAAAACCAATGACTGAATAAAACTCTTTTCAAGGGTATATGTAATATTCACCACAAAGAGTATATACATGATCATAAAACACTTCTTTTTGATTTTTTGAGACAGGGTCTCATTCTGTTGCCGAGGCTGGAGCACGGTGGCGTGATCACGGCTCACTGCAGCCTCTATCCCCTGGGATCAAGTGATCCAGCTAATTAATTAACGAAACATTTTGGCCGGGCACAGTGGTTCACGCCTGTACTCCCAGCACTTTGGGAGGCTGAGGTGGGTGCATGGCTTGAGCTCAGGAGTTGGAGATCAGCCTGGCAGCACAGCGAGACCCTCTCTCTATGAAAAATACACAAATCAGCCAAGCGTGGTGGCCATGCCCACAGTCCCAGCTACTGGGGGGCTGAGGCGGGAGGATTGCTTGAGCTTGGGAACTTGAGGCTGCAGTGAGCGAGGTCACACCTCTGTACTCCAGCCTGGGTGACAAAGTGAAATCCTCTCTCCAGCTTACTCGGGCTCTAGTAATTTCTCTCTACTCTATTCATGTCACCCACCCAAACCTTTACATTACCTAAAAGTCTTCAATCTAAGTAAAGGGTTCATATGAAGTAGAGACTTCATATGAAAAGAGGTCGAAGGGGCCTAAGTGACCTTTTGCTTGTGCTGCAGTAAGAGGAAGCTGCAGAAAACATGGGTACGACGCCTGGGAGCCTCCCACCACGCACAGGAGCCGCCTTCTGAAGAACGTGCCAGAGCTGGCAGGGCTTTGTAACAGCAGATGGAGGGAGCTTGGCACCAGGAAGGCGCTGAGCATTCGCCCTGCCAGTCACTGATACTCAGAGACTCAACAGATGATGTTCTCCAAATTTCATAAAATATAAGCACATTTCACTAGGGGAAGACAACCTGAAGTATGAATAACGTCTAGAAAAGCTGAGTATTCAGAATGGTTGATGTGCATAAAATCGTTTCCCTTTCCGAAACAAAGAAACCTTCTTTACAACAACCAAAACCACCTTGACACTAAGAGCTGCCACTTTGCTGTAGAAAAAGCTTCATTTTTAAGTAAATGACTCTCCACCGCTCCCTTTTCCAGAAAGGTGGGGCAGGGGCCTTGTGGGCCAAGGTGGGTCTTACACGGCTGGGCGCAGGCGCCAGGGCGGCCTGAGGGACTCAGCACAGGTCATGTCTATCCATTTATTCCAAGGTTACCTCCTTCCGCTCTGCGTCAGCGTGGATCTTGGCCTGGTTTGCGGCAGCTTCTCGGTAGGTGCTGGCATGTTTGGCTTGCTCAAACAGCGTCTTCAGCTGCTGCGCGGTGGTGAGCAAGGAGTTGACCATCTCCTCCAGGTACAGCCAGCTCCTCGGCTCTGACAGCTCCAGCCCATTGACCAACGCAGGAGGTGCCGCTTTGGTGGGAGTCGGGGGTGGGACGGCAAGCGCAGGCAGGGATGTCAATACTGGAGCATTTGGAAAGCAAAATAAACCAAGAAATGAATCAATTTCCTAGCTTCAAAATGGCCCCCGTTAAAAATTATCAGTTGGGCACAGTGGCTCACGCCTGTCATCCCAGCACTTTGGGAAGCCAAGGTGGGCGGATCATGAGGTCAGGAGATGGAGACTACCCTGGCTAACACAGTGAAACCCAGTCTCTGCTAAAAAAAAATACAAAAAATTAGACAGGCGTGGTGGCGGGCGCCTGTAGTCCCAGCTACTAGGGAGGCTGAGGCAGGAGAAAGGTGTGAAGCCGGGAGGCAGAGCTTGCAGTGAGTCGAGATTGTGACACTGCACTCCAGCTTGGGCGACAGAACGAGACTCTGTCTCAAATAAATAAATAAATAAATAAATAAAATTTAAAAAAAAAATTCTAATCACTCAGCGCAGTGGTTCATGCCTATAATCCCTACACTTTGGGAGGCTGAGGTGGGAGGATCACTTGAGCCTAGGAGTTCAAGACCAGCCTGGGCAACATAGCAAGACCTTGTCTCTACGAAACAAAAACCAAAAACAAAAACAACTAGCTAGGTATGGTGGCATTCACCTGTGATCCCAGTTACTTAGGAAGCTGAGGCGGGAGGATGGTTTGAGCCCAGGTGGTCGAGGCTACAGAGAACCATGACTGCACCACCGTCCTTTGGCCTTGGTGACCTAATGAGACCCTGTCTCAAAAAGAAAAAATGCGGCCGGGCGCGGTGGCTCAAGCCTGTAATCCCAGCACTTTGGGAGGCCGAGACGGGTGGATCACGAGGTCAGGAGATCGAGACCATCCTGGCTAACACGGTGAACCCGTCTCTACTACCAAAAAAAATACAAAAAAAACTAGCCGGCGCCGAGGGTGGCGGGCGCCTGTAGTCCCTAGCTACTCGGGAGGCTGAGGCAGGAGAATGGCGTAAACCCGGGAGGCGGGAGCTTGCAGTGAGCGAGAGACCCGGCCACTGCACTCCAGCCTGGGCGACAGAGCGAGATCTGTCTCAAAAAAAAAAAAAAAAAAAAAAAAGAAAAAATGCCCAGGCTGTGGCTCACACCTGTAATCCAGCACTCTTGGAGGCTGGGCGGGCAAGAAATCCACCTTGAGGTCCAGGAGTTTGAAGCAGCCTGATCAACATGGTGAAACGATCTCCCACCCAAAAAATGCAAAAATTAAGCTAGGCGTGGAAAGTGTCTCATATCCAGCTACTGGGAGGCTTGGGCATGAAGAATCATTTGAACCGGGAGGCGGGAGGTTGCGGTGTGAGCTGATCAAGGCCACGTACTACGCCCCGGTTGACAGAGTGAGACTCCACCTCAAAAAAAAAAAAGAACTCTCACCACATATGTCGAAGTCCGGGTAAAAACTACTGACAACAAACAAACAAATCACTGCCCGTGCATCTCCCCAGCACCTGACACCCACCGCTGACCCCAGCCCCTGACACCCCCAGCTGACACCCCCCGCAACCTGACCACGCCAGCAACCCTGCACCCCAAGCACCTGCCACGTCCCAGTACCTGACCCCCCAGCACCTGACACCCCCGCACCTGATCACTCGTACCTGCACCCCCACACCAGACATCCAGCACACTGCCACCCCCCGCACCGCACCTCCAGCCACCTGACCCCAGCCCTGACCACCCCCACAGCACCCTGCACCCAGCACCTGAACACCCCGCTGACACTTCCCAGTACCTGACCCCCAGTCCCTGCACTCCCCAGCACCCTGACACCCCCCAGCCTGCAACCCACACCTGACTACCCCCAAGCACCTGACACACCCCAGCACCCTGAACCCCCGCAGCGCCTGACATCCTCTAGCACCTGACATCCCCACGCCCTGACAGCCCCCCAGCACCTGAAACCACCCCAGCACCCTCGCTACCATCCTCTAGCACCTGACACCCCCCAAGCACCTGACTCCCTCTAGCACCTGCCAGCCCCCAGCAACCTGACACACCCCAGCACATGACACCCCCTAGCCGCCTGGCACATCCCTCTAGCAACCTGACCACCACCCCCAAGCACCTGAATAGCCCTAGCACCCTGACCACCCCCAGACACCTTAACATCCTCTAGCACCTGCCACCCCCCAGCCCTGACATCCTCTAGCACCTGCCGCCCCCCACCTGACACACGGCCCCCAGCACCTGACACCCCCAGCACCTGACATCCTCTAGCACTGACACCCAACCAGCACCTGACATCCCCCCAGCGCGCAAAAGAGGCAGGAAGATGTCCCATCCCTTCCCGCTCCACCCACCCAGCTCCACATTGTAAAACTCATCCGAATGTGGCTGCTGGACCTGGAAACGTTCACGGAATCAGAGCTGAGGACAATGACCAGGGAGGGAAGCAGCTAAATCAGAGTCTCGCTCTGTTGCCCAAGTTGGAGGGCAGTGGTGCCATCTTGGCTCCCTGCCTCCTGGGTCCAAGCGATTCGCCTGCCTCAGCCTCCCGAGTAGCTGGGATTACAGGCATCTGCCACCAGGCCTGGCTCATTTTGTATTTTTAGTAGAGATGGGGTTTCTCCACATTGGTCAGGTTAGTCTCGAACTCCTGACCTCAGGTGGTCTGCCCACTTCGGCCTCCCGAGTAGCTGGGATTACAGGCGTCCACTACCACGGCCGGCTGGTTTTGTATTTCTAGTAGAGATGGGGTTTCACCATGTTGGCCAGGCCAGTCTCCTGACCTCAGGTGATCCAAGGGCGCCCAAAGTGCTGGGATTACAGGCGTGAGCCACCACGCCCAGCCCCACGCTAAATCTTCTAAAGAGTCAAGCTGACAAAAGAAACCCTGCTTTCAACTCCACCCACCTGGAAAGTCTTCCCTCTAGCACCTGACACCCCCCCAGTACCTGACTCCCCAGCACCTGACACCCCCAGCACCTGACCACCCTTCATTTTTAAGTAAATGACTCTCCACCGCTCC